TTATGAACAAAGTAAGAACTTTGTTGTCGCCCTTTGATTAAATTCTATTTACAAAATCTGGATATTTCATCATCTTTAGTGACCTTGACCTTGTATATATTGACCTAAATTATATGTATCACAGCCATAGTCTTGATAATGACCATTTGTGTTACAATCCCTCAATAAATGATGACTAAATGGTCCATATACACATCTTCATATTTTTATCTGAACTTTGACCTCTATGTGTGACCTTGACCTTGGCCGCAAGGACCTGAATCTTGCACGCGACACTCCGCCTCACAATGGTGAACATTTGTGCCAAGTAATATTGAAATCCCTCTATACATGTGGAAGTTTTGCTCTGGACAAGCATTTTTCAATGAGCTCTAAGTGTGACCTTGACCTTTGACCTAGAGACCTGGTTCATGTGCGCGACACTGCTCCTCATAGTGGTGAACATTTATATGAAGTTTCATTAAAATCCCTCCATACATGTAGGAGATATGCTCCGGACAAAATTGGACGCCGCCCGCCCGCCCGGGGCGTTCCCATAATACGTCCCGTTTTTCAAACGGGCGTATAATAAACTGTAATTTCTCTTTTATCAAAAACTGATACTGATGCTTACAATGTAATGAAGCATTCTCTCAAATTACTATAATGTTTAAACCCTTTTCTTCTCAACATCAATATTGCATAATAACGTTTAATTTTAAACTATTCTACATATTTTCTCTACGCTAATATTCATCTAAATTAAAATAAATCATGCAAGTTATAAAAGTAAAAATCAATTTCTGTATTTTTGCTACCAAAATTCAATGAACTAATTTCTGCTACCAAAATCAATTAAAATATTAATGCCATTGTCTATATATCTTTTCGGCAAAGTTCTCATAATAAAAACAATTAACAATTGATTAATCCTCACTTAGTTAGTTTAAAAATGTTAACCACACCCAAATAAATGCAAATAGTTCTGGCTATAAACACAGGACCGATAAACACATAACAAAATTATTTATATACACTGTATTAAATTATTACAGTAAAGTAACAAAGCACATCAATAACTATATAAACTTCTATGAACAAATTTTGACGTTACCTGCAGGTGTAAATGTAGAGGAAATATGTGATGCTGTTTCATTCAACATGCTCTTTGTTCCAACATCAAATGCATCATCGCTCACCGGTGTAGTAGTTGGTGCAATAGTCGTCGTTTTTAACTTCGGATCCCAGATCAAACTGTAATATATAGCCAGAACTATTGCGGCAAGAGAAACGGCAAGTACGTAAGCAAGAACTGTAGCTAAACGAACCCACTTCTTGTTCGTTTTGGCAGCCATTTTCGTTTTGTTTTTGTCTGCAGAGAAAGTTGGACCTTTAGGAGCGGCGTTGGATGCGTTTGCGCGATAAGTTGTCGAATGTCCGTCTTCTTTTTCCATGTCAAAACATAAATAAATAGGCTATTACGAGTACTTTAACAAAAAATGTCCCGATTATCTAATCCCAATCGCGTGCTGTGAAATCGATAATTAGATGCAGAAGCAATTGCCACCTGTTGACATTTAGCGGGAGAAGGGGCGCTACTCTTTACAAACTGCCTTGACTTAATTCTGTATCGTTCTGTTGCCGTTCCAAATACCGGGAATCAAAGCATATTGGTCAGACTCTCATATTGATTTCTCATAGACTTACATTATCAGAAATGGTCCCTATTATTACCTTAAAATTGAGTTTTGGTGCTCTTTTAGAAGAATGTAATGCCTGACACATAAAAATGATCTTGTTATATATGGGTAGCCGACCATTTTTTTTCAAAATGTCTTCAGAGGATTACCCCCATTTTCGCTGATCACAGGACTGACATACACTTTTTATAAATGCAAATATCAAAGTCATAAATTATTATAGAGACTTGTGAAATATTTTATTTTCTTAAGAAAACAATATAAAGTGTTAGTTTCTTAATTAGTTTTCAGAAGAAGCACCTGCTTCTTTCCAATGAATAATTGCAAGCCTGTAAGATTCAGTCAAAAGCATAATTCATCGAGTCAGCATATATCACTTCTTGCGAGCACAGGAAGTAGATGTGTTTACACACTGGACTTATATAGCAAAATATCCTCACAAGTAATAATGAATTTCAAGGTCATTTATAGGTCAAGGTCAGATTTGAATTACTTAACCCATTACCTAATATACACACCTTTTAACGCCTTTTTCACCCCCCCCCCCCTTTTTTGTCTCAAATGGTGAAAAAATGCCTTATTTAGGCCCCCAACACTTGTTTTTGTTTGAGAAATGTTGTTTAAAAAAAGACCACTTTTTCGGTGCAGCCCCCCAACCAAAAGATACATCAGTGGGTTGCCAGAAGGGGGATATGCCCCCTTTTGTTTGGGGCGTTTGAAGGGGGGCAGTAGTCCCCCTCATCGCCAAGAAAATTTTGGACTTGTGAGAGGCAAAAAATGACCCCAGAATGGTAACGAACGCTGAAAAGCATTTGACTCTATCTCTATTTATTGAGAAGTTGCAGCACTTTGAAATCAATTTTGATGGAAAAAAATCAACGCAAAATAGTGATTTTTGGCAATTTTGAGATGTCCCCTCGTTGCCATGGTAACAGGAAATTTAAGCCTGGGCATGTTGTTACAAAGGCAATGATCCAGTCAACATTTGTGCCAAGTTTGATTAGTATTGAAGCAGTTTTTATAGTTTTATGGCAATTTGAACTTGTAACAGGAGACTTTTCAATGAAAACAGCCATTTTTCACCAAATGCTCATGAAGTAATGGGTTAACATACACAACAAAGTTACTGCCATTTATAGCAACAAGAGCCACCGCCGGGCGGGGGCAACGCTCGACTTTTTACTTTTTCTAAACGCAAACATAGAAAGGTTTGAACATATCTTAACGTTTCCTTTTTATAAATTTAGTTGGTCTGTCTTGTCACATTAGTTTTGTTTATATATTTTGTATATATATATGAATAGAAACATTACGCAATTTCTAAAAATAGCAACATTACGCAATTTCTAAAAATAGCAACATGACGCAATTTCTAAAAATAGAAACAATGACGCAATTTCTAAAAATAGAAACAATGACGCAATTTCTAAAAATAGCAACAATGACGCAATTTCTATAAATAGCAACAATGACGCAATTTCTAAAAATAGAAACAATGACGCAATTTCTAAAAATAGCAACTATGACGCAATTTCTAAAAATAGCAACAATGACGCAATTTCTAAAAATAGCAACAATGACGCAATTTCTAAAAATAGAAACAATGACGCAATTTCTAAAAATAGAAACAATGACGCAATTTCTAAATATAGCAACAATGACGCAATTTCTAGAAATAGAAACAATGACGCAATTCTATAAATAGAAACAATGATGCAATTCTTGTTGTTGTTGTTGTTGTAAATATATATATATACACACACACACACATAAATAAATATATAATTATGGTCATTTAATGCACAAATCTGAGAAAATTCAGTAATTTAACCTTCAAGGTCAAGGTCATTAAAGAGCCAAGCAAATTTGGGTTTGATAAACAACGAGGTCTGGCCCTTAAGAATGTTCTGTTATAATATGAAGTTGATCCCTTCAATAATAGCAAAGTTACAGTCAGTTACCGCCAAAACAATGAAAATTTAAATAATTTGACCTTCAAAGACAATGTCATGAATGAGTGAAGGTCAAGGTCTTTCGGTATATTTTTAACAGTTATCTTTGAAGATTATTATGTTCAAGTTTCAAGACAATCCATTCAAAAAAAACAAAGTTACAGCCAATAATAGCCAAAAAAATGAAAATTTCAATAATTTGACCTTCAAAGTCAAGGTCATTTATGAGTGAAGGTCAAGGTCTGTCTAGTTATTTTTTAAGGAATATCCCTGAAGATAATTATGTTCAAGTTTGAAGACAATCCATTTAAAAATAACAAAGTTACAGCCAATAATAGCCAAAAAAATGAAAATTTCAATAATTTGACCTTCAAAGTCAAGGTCATTTATGAGTGAAGGTCAAGGTCTGGCGGGTTATTTTTAAGGGATATCCTTGAAGATTATTATGTTCAAGTTTGAAGACAATCCATTCAAAAATAACAAAGTTACAGCCAATAACAGCATGAACAAGCAAAAATTGGACTTTTAACCTTGAAGGTCAAGGTCATTTATGGATGAAGGTCAAGGTTAGTGTGATCTACTGAAAGGTCTTGTCCCAAGGGTTGTTGTGGCCAAGTATGAAGACAATACACCAAGAAATAAAAAAGTTATGATCCAGGTACAAGTTTGCGGACGGCAACGGCAACGCCGACCTGACTATAACAATACCTCAACTTTTTTTTTCAAAAAAAAAAAAGTCGAGCTAAAAAATCAAGCAAAATTAAAAATTTTGACCTTAAAGGTCTGTCACTCGTGTCATGATTATGTTCCCATCTATAAACCACAGTGAGTGCTGGTTAGTTCCAGGAAGCAGACTTGAATGTGCATGAACTTGTGTCGAAATTAAAGCTGCACACCTTCTGATGAGCCAAACTATTTCAAGAAAATCAATATTAAGAAAAATGCACTAAACTTTTAAGAAAGGTAAAAACATCAAGATCCAAGTTAAATTTTACATGCCATGTGCAGTTTAACACTGATTTTGCAGTAATTTATCACCATATTTCTACTGCATTACTAACTCAGTAAGGGCTGTTTTTGCATATTGACCACTTTTTGGTAATTGTTGTGGATTGTAAATGCAGATTGCAATATGTAAATTACTTTATTTGTTCACCTCACATTATTTTACTTTTAAATACATTTCCAAAATCTTAATGAAAATAACATGAATCTGGAGGAGTGCTGCTTTAAGACTAAATAAATATGCTTCAAATAAAGTTACCAAACAATTCATTTTAAATACAATCTTTAAAAGATTATCATCACTTCAGGCAAGTGTTAGTCTTAGGTAAAAATCCAGGTCTCAATGCCAAAGCAACCATACAGATTGTAATTCTATATTTTGTTTTATTTTGGCTATACAATTTATAAAATTAACATTATCTTTACAGCATATTTTTTTTTACTCAAATGCTATGCAAAAACAAATGCACTGCAACATGATATAGGGTTAACATATCTTCCATCCTTCCATGTATAATGTAAAATCATTATTTTTAGTGAGCACTTTTTTTCATGGTTTTCTTGTCGATAGGTCAATCTACGAATCTAAGATCCAATGAAATTTCATTTCGTCTGCAGTAAAATTATATTTTGCATAATATTATTTACATTTAACCTTTTGGAAAAATATACAGTCTAGGAAGTTAAGAATCCAGGAACATGTTCTTTGTGACAAAACCACGGAATTTCTTACCAATGAAATCAAGTGAATTTACAGTATTCAACATTTGTACTTTTCTTAAGATATGACAATAATGATTAATTTTGAATCATACAATTATATCACAAGAAAACATCTATTCTTATACAATCACACACTAATCTTTGTAATCTCTAATCTGTAATCTCTGTATTTAATAGGACACAGTATTTATAACTTTGTTTTGTTCGACTAAAGACAGCTGAAGGTAATGATCCAACTCCATGTTAAACGTGGCCGACCCCGACGTCATTGTCCGTAAAGTGGTGGAGTAACCCACCAATTCAGCAAGAGGTGTAAGTGTAACCAATATTCTCTCTTCATTCTGTGACAATAATTGTTTAATTTCTCCTCTACGTTTAATTATGTCTGACTGAACAGCATGTAAATGGTTATCGTCCGTGTGTACCTGAAAAAAAAAATCAAGACTATTAAATGTTAGGTTAAATTTCTTGATAATGAAATGAAAAGTCATTATCCAGTCACAAAATCGTCTTTTTTTTCCACCCTGAAAATCAAATAAGCTTCCTTAAATATGAATCTTTATTATGCTCAGTCAGTGTTTTCTCTAGAGAGCGTTTTCTGCGCTTTTGATGCAATAATTTTGCATTTGACAAGGTAATATTATAGCTGTGCGTTTTCCGTGACGCATATTTATGCGAGCGTCATAGTATATATTTTTTTTATAAATAGCATGAATTTTATCACCTTATCGGTCACATGATTTATCTTAGACGCTTTAGTAATTATAACATGATAAAAGCGCTTAGAAGCTTCAGATTGCGACGTCATTATCCGGGTAAATTCTCAATGTCTGCTTCGAAGAAAAAGCTGCGAAGATTTATTTCATTCTTCCATAAAGACAATGATAACGTTGACAGGGCAACAGAGTACACTGGAAACAACTCTGCCCCCATACAAAATGAGGTTACCCAACCGAATCAATCGATGAATGCTCAAACAAATGAGAAATCCCAACAAAATAATTATGTTTTGAAGCAAGATTTTAGTACCGAGTGGCTTGAAAGCAATTTCTGGTTGCAGTATAGAGGTAATAAAATGACATGCACATGGACTTTGACTTTCATAAAGCATTGTGCAAGTGGAAAAAAGTCAAAAAGAGGAAACTTTATGACAATATAGTGTTACACATATTATAGAAATAAATAAATATATACCTTGTACATTTTTTGCCTATATATTAAGTTTAAGTGAAGTTATTGTTTGATTTGAAAATATATTTTCATGACCCTTTTTATTTGTAAATGTCTCTCTCATTTTAAAGAAAAGGGTCAAATATGACCCCCAAAATCTTTGACATAGAATAAAAACTGGCTAAGTAGTAAAAATAATTTGAAGATTCAATAACATTGAGATTAACAAAAAGTTTTACATAATTTTCTCTCATAAATTCATATGCACTGATGTAAACTTAACTCAATTTTCAGATCTTAGAAAGTACTTTAGTATACCAATTATTATTAAAAGTGTCCAGAATTTTTTTTAACAATGCTGAGATGATAAAAGTTTTATTGTCATAAAAGATGTTGAATATTTAATTGATTTATTGTTGTATCATGTTGGTGTTGTTGAATTCTATTTTCATAAAAGCTTTTTCATATTTAGTTGATTTATTGTTGTATCATTTTGTTGTTGTTGAAACATCTTACATTAAGTGCCATAATGGGTTCCAGTAGATAGCCGTCTGCCTTCCTCAATGCCTCACTGATACACTGACTAGCAGCTGCCTGAAGGAATGGAAGTGATGTCCTGGCACCAATATTCAGGCCAGTTATTTTAACTTCCACATTCATCACTTTAGAGTTATATAGTGGTCCTGAAATTATAATACAAAAATAAACATAAAAGCTGCAATTTATTGTTATGGAAATTACAATCTTTGACAAAGACATTCTTATACCTCTTTTACCCCTTTCTCATGCTTCAAATTTGCAAAAAGATTTTTCTTGTTTAAAATGTTTTTAATATTATATTCTAACAACATGCCATGTTTCAAGAAATTCTATTTAACAGTTTTGATTCCGCTTATACGTCTAAAAACTGTCCTTAAGCATATGAAAGATGTATTAATACATGTAACTGTGTAAGTGCATTTTTTTCCACTTATACAAGTAGCTTCCCTTTAACAAAGAATACTTTACCATAACTAAGTGCTGACTTCACTCCATTGTCAATAGCATTCTGCATCCTGAATTTTAATGCTGGAATATCTTCTCCTTCATATTTCACATGTTTAAATTCTGGGAATTCTTTGTTAGGCAACAATTTTACTGTCATTGTAACAGAGTAACTATTCTTGCCGATGGTGTTTTCCAGACATGATGTATGCTCCACTGCTGTACCAATCATTTCCCTGTAAGCAATCTGTAATGGAATACAAATGTAAGGTCAAGTAAATTCCATTTATACAGTATTGCCTATATAATATAGTTTTCAGTCTCCTATTGCGACCATTTTGTATTTTTTCATATTTAATCAAAGATAATACAATGCAAATTCAAATTTGAATTTTCAAAACGAAACAGTTGGGTAATGAGAAACTTATACAGTATATATTGTATGAATTGCACAAAATCTCAATACACTTGTAAGTGTTCTCTCAGTTGAGTCACACAATCATGATAAGGTCATGTGACAATAGTCTCCAGCTTTACCAGTGGAGGAATATGTCCCATCATGCATTATTTCAGGGACAAAAAGGCACAAGAATAGAACCACCAACTTTCCTAAACTAGCTCTAGATAGCATCCTTATAGGTAAGAATTCAAAGTCCCTGGTGGGAACTGAACAAATCCTAGTGAGTGACAAGAAATTTGAAGTTGTTCACCTTTACAATTCAAACACTGCATTGATTATGATAGTATAAGTACATGTAAGTAACTTAACATTGTTGCTTTTTTAAAAGATGATTTCATTTTAATGAATAAGATCTCCATAAACTGTAGAACAAAGAAAGAATAGGTAAGTAGGTGGTTTTTAATTAACCAAAAATGTCTAAAACCAAACTGAACCTCTCTATTTATTTTGATATGGTTTTGTCCTGCTTTGAAATGGAAACTATTTTGCATGGTTTAATTGGGATTTCAAAGTAAAAAGACTAAAATAAAGAAGCCAAAAGACTTAAAGACTGGTTGATATTGGTGACATAGGCATACCATTTATTCTATCAGACTGTACATTTCTTTTATTATAATTTTTTTTTGGCCATATATCTATTTCCTGTTGTCTTGGTAAAGAAGTGAGCAAGTTGGATTTTATGGCCATTAAACAACATGAAGAAATATAGCAACAATTAAACAGTTGGAGGATTGCCTTCATTGTTTTCAAAAAGAGATAACTAAAATCATCTCTGACACATAAAAAAGATTAAATTACCTGTAAAGGACCCAGGTAAGCATCAACTCCATATTCCTTCTCCAGCCTATGTTTTATAACCTCTAAATGCAGCTCCCCCATCCCAGCCAATATCATCTGACTTGTATCTTTATCTACAGTCACCTGTTATAAAAACAAAAAATTAATTAGTTCTAAATACCTATAATACTTTCACTGTACATTTATTTTAGTATAAGCTCAATGACTTTAATGATTTTACAATTTAACACTGGTAATTAAGCCACTACTGGTCACTGACCAGTATCCATTTATCAATCTAGTACTGTAAACATTCTCTGGGTTTCGAGTACTGTAGCCAACATATCGGGGACAAAGAATAACTACACCCAAGGCAGGTGGCTATTTCATTAAAGTTCATAACTGTTTATGTTTTATATGTTAATTTTATTGTCAGTTACCCTATTTTGCCTTCTAGCCAATTAGGATTCCTACATGTAAGTATAATGCACCCAATACAGAGCTGTGACAACTATCAACCTATATTGAGGAGAAGACATAAAGATTTAAGACTAAATTCTTACCTGGAGACTTGGGTCTTCCCTCTGCAGTTTCTCTAAAGCCTTTTCCATGTCATTCTGCTTGGACAGACTTGGTGCCTCAATAGAACAGAAGAATACAGGTTGTGGGACGTCAAGTCCTGCCAGAACTGGTCCATCAACACTCTCTTCCTCATCATCTATTTCTATGTCATTGTCACTTTCTTTATGTTTTTTTTCTGATGATGATATGGTCTTCTTGTAGATTGATGCTGCCTCTTTCGCTGCAGCAGCATTACTGGTCAAAGTGTCACCAGTTTTAACCTAATTATATGCAATAGTACAGTTATGTTTTGTGTAAGTAATGATTGTTTAATATTGATTCTGTGTCACACTGCCTTTTACAAGGTTTACTGGTATCATGTATGGTAAAAGGCACCAAATCAAACTACCAATCTTTCTTAAGCTCCATGGATAACTTACTCACAAGAAAATAAAACAAAAACATTGCAGTGAGGGGCAAATGCTTCCAAAACTGTAACATACATGTATACCTAAATACACATAGGTGAAGTTTAAATCTTCTTTATCTATTAGAAAAATGACAAAGTCAACTGTTTATAAAGCCAGCAAAAAAAACCAAGTAAGTTTGCATATCTTAGTTATAAATCTGACTGACTCTTTACTTAGTAGTCCAACTAACTTTAGTATCCAATTTTCAATATCCCTCACACTGGGTAGTTCAAAATTTAAAGCAAAGCATGTCCATTTGACAAAATTATCTATGTTAATCCAAATAGTGAGCAGCAAACTTAAATAAATATCACTATAAATTCTATGTATTAACATGTATGTATATACTGTGCAACAGCAATTCATAAATAAAGATTTTATTAGTGTAGTCTTTGCTCAATGCATGGTCCTGCAATGTCAAAATATACTGATGTGCTTTATCTAGATTCTGAGATAATTTTGTTCCTGCATTGCAACACTGATTAATAGTAAAAACTAAAAAAAAATTCAAGTTATATTTACGTTTGTAATGTTTTCTAGCTATATTTACCTTTGTAAGTCCAGCAATACAGACAATATTTCCAGGTCCTGACTCTTTAATCTGTTTATATTCATCTGCATTCACCTGATATAAATCAAAATTCCCAATCTTCTCCGTATTGCCAAGGTTAACATTGTACAGATTTGAACCAGCCTTTAATGCACCTCCATATATTCTAACATATGTTAAAGCACCTCTATGTTTTTCATGGACAATCTTAAATGCTAGCGCACACAGATGATTACTATAGTACTGCAGGAAAGGATATTGAATGTCTGACGGGCAAGGGAGGTAACTCACTATAGCATCCATCAATGGCTGAACTGCAATGTTCCTTTTTGAACTTCCACATAGAACTAAAACTGCTTTACATGATAAAGTTAGATTTCTAAGAGCAGCCTGGATGTCATTTGTAGGTATATCTTCATATTTTACATCATTTAAAACATGCCCAGCTATTTTGTCATCATACTCGGCTAATTGACCAATCAGAGTAGCTCTTGCATTTGAAATTGCTTCTGAAAAAGAGTCAATTTCTGACAGGTCTATACTATCCTTGGTAAATTTGCTTCCATCCTGTGAAATTGAAGGGTTCCATAAAATCTGTTCTAATGTCACTAAATCAACTATACCAGTAAATGTTTTTTCCTTTCCAATAGGTAAATTTATAGGAATAGGGATTACATGAAGACGATCTTTGATAGATTTCAGACACATGTTGAAATTAGCGCCAAGTTTGTCCATTTTATTTAGGAATATTATGCGAGGAATATTGTACCGATTTGCTTGTCTCCATACAGTCAAAGTTTGTGCTTCAACACCTGAAAGAAACAACATAAACAATTTACAATTCAATTTATGATTCCTGACGCATCAAGGTTTAAAGACAAAATGTTTCATAAGTTTCTTGAAAGTTTTCCTAACTATTATCATTTAATAGAGCACTTAAATAGACATTCTTCTACTTATTTATACAGGTATATCAGACCTTGTAAGATACAAGTTTGCTTAAAACACTGAGTTATAAATAAAAAATACTATGAAAATACAAATGCCTATTACCCATTCAATTAATATTGATAATAAGTAAGTAGATATGTATTAAAATGGATGACCTGGCCAAGTTGCATTTTAAGACTTAAGTTTACATTATAACTGGTTTAAAGAATACCAAATATACAATGTAAAGAAAAATTGCAACTTTATATGATACCTATGACATTGACACTATCTACACATTATACCTGCAGATGCATCCAACACAGCTACTGCACCATCAAGTACCCTCAATGATCGTTCCACTTCCACAGTAAAGTCTACATGACCTTAAAACATATAAAAACAACTCTTTGAAAAACATAACTTGTATGTGCTGAAAATATCAATAGATGTATAATAAAAACTTGTAAAATAGTTAAAAGTTATTTTAACTTGCACAGACAATGATAAATGCCCGAGGTCAAATTCTTGTGGGGAAAATGATATAGTCTTATAAAATTCAATATGCAGACACTCATATATTTTATTTACAATTTGCCATTGAAAGGCACAAATTTCTATCAAAAAGGTTGACAGTAAATGAGTTAATTAAATTTATATGACATGTAAAATAGTAGTTATACCAATACCAATATGAATAACCAGAACAGACCTCAAATAGATTTACAGTCCGACCCCGGTTATTCGACAACCCTTTATTCGAATACCCGGCATTATTCGAAGTAGATCCGTGGTCCCGTTTTTATCTCTATATAATACAATATAAATACGAGCGTATTATTCGAAATGCATTATCCGAATACCTCCTATTTTTCGAAGTAAAATTTCGGTCCCGATTATACAATTATGAAAGAATTTCACACCTATTATTCGAAGCCAGTCTAATTATTATTAGAAGCCAGACTAGTTGGCGCCGATCCACTCGCTGACCGGTCGACATGTGAAAAATATCAACAGTCATGCGTGCATTTAGACAGTCATGATAATAAGTCTTTGTGTGTTCTTTAATCAACTTTAATTACCGAAAATGAAAAGCAATGCACCGTGTCCGATTTTGTTACTGTTATTGCTTGAAGATGACGGCAATTATTTTCATACATATCGTATAGATGTAAATTTGTCAAAACATCCAACACATTTTTTTCATTAATTGTAACGCTACATGAGAGCCTTTTTCCCAATCGAAAATACCAGACTTGAGCTGTAAATACCGTAGTGACAACACGGCCATTATCAAGGCTTTGAGCGAAGCGAAACGATACATCATGTAGAATAAAATGCAAGTATTTATGTCTTCAATGTCAATACAATAATTTTTACGCATCTTTTCTTTAATATTTATTTTCCTCAATTGATTACAGGAAGTAAGTGTGTTGTAAACGGTAGTTTTGCTATGATTGGTCAAAGTGGAGTAGTTTTCGTCTATCAAAATATTCTGATTTCGATTATTGGAACCCATCGATTATTCGAAGTAACTACTCAGTCCCAGGCACTTCGAATAAACGGGGTTGGACTGTAATTGCAGAAAGATGTAAGAGGATAGTACACATTCAAGTTTCACTCACATTGCATCTTTCGTTATTTCAAATTAACCAATGAATTTCTTACCTGGTGTATCAATCAGATTGATTTTATGTTTATTCCAGAATAATGTTACTGCTGCAGAAACGATAGTGATACCCCTCTCTCTTTCCTCATCCATATAATCAGTCACTGTATCTCCTCTGTCTACATCACCTATAACAAATATTTACAACTAATGTGATACATTTTTTACTGCTTTTCAGAAAACTAAATTAGCATCATCTCCCAAAACTTATTCACTTACATAATGTATATAAACATGTACCCAGGGACATAATATAATGAAACAAGCTTAGCAACTCTGTTACACGGTTGAGATAAGCCTGGTTCCAATAAATAGATCTATATTAATGCAAATACCTAAACTCTTTTTTTCTAATTTTAAATAGAGGATTCACAAAACTACAAATTGCAATAAAGGTTGTGTTGCAGTCATTCGGTTTTGTGACATGTACATCATGTAATCAAAATATAAGACTTAAAAGACACCTACATTAGGTCCCTGATTTTTGAGACATAGGCGATATATATTTCGGAAAACAATAACTTACCAAGATGTTTAGAAAAACCTGAGTAATACAGCATGCGTTCAGTTGTTGTAGTTTTTCCTGCATCAATATGTGCCATTATTCCTATGTTTCTAATGGAATGAATGTCTTCTTTTGGTTTATGTGGAGCATGTTGAGATTGAATGGAGACTGTTGAATGAATATTGCTGCTCCATTGACATATAATTGGATTAATACCACGTTTCTTGGAATATATCTTGATCCTGTGAGGATGTAATGCAAACCTCGATAGTAACATTTTTATTGTCACCTTTTATTTACAGCAAAAATGTGACTTTCAGACTAAAAATATGATCTGTGTCACATAGACGCATTTTTTCCAATGATACAAGCGATTGTAAAGAGTATGCTTGATTTTTTTTATAAAAATTATTTCTTCCGTGTCGATTTCCGTAAACTATTCATATTAATTTCTGATAATTTATTATGGCTTAGAAATCATTCTTTTTCTTTTCTTAGAGAAATGCCATGATATTACAGGCATACACAATGAAACTCATACTATATTTATCAACCTTAGATCTACAATTAAAAATTCAAACAAGCACAACATTTATTTTTCATGAAGAGCATAAGCAGCAATTTGTTTCGAACTTCCCGCAAACGTGAAATGTGAAAAAGATTAAATTGATCCCATAGAAATGTTTACCAATAGAAATAGCTCCATGAGAGCTGGACAGTCACCATTTAATGCTACACCACAGGGGAACAGATCAGTACAGACCAAACGGGTTGCTAGCGTTTTCACGCCAACCAGAAAACAAAAGTGAATTTTTACCTAAAAAATAATTTATCAAAATTTACCCGGCTTAATAATTTTAATGTTAACAAACATATGTTCTGAGTTTAACATGAATAAGGCAAAGCCTCAAAGGGGGCTCTTTGATAGAAAGTATAGAGCATTTTAATAGCAAGTTTGAATAGCTAGCCAGGGCTAGCACTGGCAATTTTTTACTTTGAGCCAATTTTTCGCGGCGAAAATTGCCTGCCTGTATTTTATTTTCAAATCAGGCAATGGTACGGCATGGGATATTTAGAAAAGCATTAACTATATCCAACTTAATTTTGGTAGCTACATTTTTATTACATTAACAAAATCTTACATATACGAGTAATATGAAATTAGGCAAAGCCTATGGACGGGGAAGTCGTTAAAAATTCCTTTCATTCTTTCCGTTTTAAAGGTGTCATTCGGTATTACATGTACTGCTTCCGTTTTCATTCGGAACACTCGGCGATTATCATTTATCCGAAAAGTGGAGATTTGTTCCGTTATCGGATACCCCGCCATTTATCATTGAGTTACATTGTAAATGGCGGCGCCCGAGTAGAACTGACACTGAAAATTTCTTTGATGGTATAGAATTTTATATGTTTTTTAATTGTTTTTTATGTGATTTTCTTTTAAATATACACGTGTAGTCTATAGCCGGGCAAGCCAAAGCCCGGACCCGCTTCGCGGGCCCGGTCTTTGACTTCCCCGTATTAAAGTACTTTCCTATACTGAGAGATGTTGCAAAAGAAATGGATAGTTGTTGATAAATGTAATACAGTTTTATACAGTATGAATGTGACAATATTGATATATTCAGACACAGATACTATTAAACTCCATGATTCAGTGACATATGATATATAATATATAGAGTCTCTGATATATTTTAGCAATTAAAAGATTTGATGCTCAAACACATCTAAATTCCTTCTTGTAATATAAAATAAGTTAAATTATGAACGAGAGTACGGACTATGGACATCTACATCTACATCTATATTATACTGCTTAACAATCAATTCTGATTATGACTAGCAGGCGCGTTGTCAGGGAACTGTTAATAAAAGAAATTATTTATATGCAAATTAAAAAGTTAAAGGAATAAAAGTACTACAAGACTAATATGAAATTAGGCAAAGCCTATGAACGGGGAAGTCGGTAAAAAAATCCTTTCATTTTTCCATTTTAAAGGTGTCATTCGGTATTATATGTACCCACTTCCGTTTTCACTCGGAACACTCGACGATTATTATTAATCCGAAAAGTTGAGATTTGTTACGTTATCGGAATACACCGCCTTTTATCATTGAGTTACATTGTAAATGGCGGCGCCTAACTAGAACTGACACTGAAAATTTCATTGATATGTATAGAATTCTATATATTTTTTAATTGTTTTTTATTTTAATTTTCTTTTAAATATACACGTGTAGTCTATAGCCGGGCAAGCCAAAGCCCGGGCCCACTTTGCGGGCCCGGACTTTGACTTCCCCGTATAATTTACAGTCAGTAATTATTATTTTAAGCTTAGAGGCCAGTAACTATAACATTTGCCAAAAGTAACATGTAGGCAACAAGGTTCCCTTAAAATCTAAGTCTGTGGCATGGTAGTGACATAAGGTCAATCTTTTTTTTCAGGAATACTCTGTATGTCAAATAAATTCCTTCTCAATTTTATATTTTTGGAGCCATAATTAGGTCAGATTTCAGGGCCAAAATACCCTTCTTTCCCTTCTTTGTAGTTGCCCAATAAAGGCTGCTTCCCCAACCAAACTAGCCTCTTTTTTTTCCCAGTTTGGTCCTCAAAATCCCCCAGTCTTTTGAAATTTCCCATAGAATTTAGAACAAAATTAAATGAGGTCTTTTACTGCCTTATTAGTATTTCCCACTGCTTTTTGCTGTCCTATTTTGAAGAACATTCCCACTGCTTTTTGCTTTTCTATTTTGAAGAACTTGTTAAAATTTTGTGTTAAATTTGAGACCCCTTTTTTCCCCCAAGAAAAAGGCCGAAACCCCTTCCTCAAAAATGGTGTTTTGGCCGCAATAACACCCCCTCCCACCACCACAAAAAATCAACAACAATAACTCTATCAACTATTAATTCCTTCAATCTGTTTATCAACAACGATAAAATTTACTGGTCAAGTTGCCAACTGCAGAACATAATTTGTCACCATTTCATACCCAAAATGCTGATTTGATTAGCGATAATCATGAGATGCCGCTAGTTATTGTTTCATATTGAATATTAAGACCAATTATCCAGTGCATATTCAACAATCTGTCACAGGTATTTTTCACACCAATTAGTGTCGTATTTATCAGCTGATAAACATGTAAACATACCCTGAGGGTCAGTGTATTAGACTGTGTTACTGTTCATATCAATATTTCGTTCGGAAAGGAAGTTACAAATATAAACCAGTCAATGACCCACAAAAAGTAGACTGTGTTGCTGTGTTTTGAGATAAGAAGTGATAAAACGGAAGTTGTAGATGGAAAACCAGATGTGTACTTTTCCATTCTTAAAATAGAAAAAGCTAAATTTAGACTGGAGATTCCAAAAGTCATACTTTTCGTAAGTTTGAGCCAATCGTGATTTTCTTGAGCCAATTTAATTATTTTGGAGCCAATTTGCTCATTGGCTCCTGCCAGCGCGAGCCCTGGCTAGCCCAAAGAGCCTACTCGCAAAGCGAGCTTTCCTGTTAATGGTTTCGTCCGAAGTACTAGATCGACACATTGCAACTTTTCTAATTACAAGATAACGATTAAAGCCGAGGTATTCTGATTGAAAACCGAAGCGTAGACTGCTGTCCTGCGCACTTATATGGGAACCATAATAGGTCATGGAACCAGAATACATGGAAGCAGTGTATAATATGAAATTAGGCAAAGCCTATGAACGGGGAAGTCGTTAAGAAATTCCTTTTATTCTTTCCGTTTTAAAGGTGTCATTCGGTATTACATGCACCGCTTTTGTTTTCACTCGGAACACTCGACGTTTATTATTTATCCGAAAAGTTGAGATTTGTTCCGTTATCGGAATACCCCGCCTATTATCATTGAGTTACATTGTAAATGGCGGCGTCCGACTAGAACTGACACTGAAAAATTTTATTGATAATAGGTATAGAATTCTATATATTTTTGAATTGATTTTATTTGATTTTCTTTTAAATATACACGTGAAGTCTATAGCCGGGCAAGCCAAAGCCCGGACCCACTTCGCGGGCCCGGTCTTTGACTTCCCCGTAAAATACGGAATGACAGTTTAAAAACAGAAAATGTAAAATAAAAATGAAAGATTATTTTATACTATTATTATTTTTCTTTCATGGATGTCCTGTTTATGTGGGCATCTCATGTACGGTTTTTTGTTATATCCACACTTACTGTGACCTAGGTATTTACCTGAGGTGACCGATTCTAATTTTTGTGACTTTGATAACTTGACACTTGGAGGGGTTAAATTCCATATCCCACTCCAACTCCCACTTTTCTAACAGATTTAGGTCATTTTTGGAGGGTGACTGATTGGTTTACAGATGTCAGAGCAATGTATATGGCAGTATTGTCTACAAACAAGCCAACCTGGGAATTTATGTTTTGTGGGAGGTTATTCATAATTTGAAATTAGGTGCTACCTATGGTGCGGAAAGCTCTTGTGAATTATGATTTTAGCATAACATGTTTAGTGTAAATGTAAACCAGATCTTTCTTGCAGGTATTTTGTACCATAAACAAAACGAATAAATTGGTGGTGTTCAACCTATCATCGGAGCGCTCGGAATATTCCGCAAATCTCCGAACGTAAAGGGGGACCACTGTGCATGCGTCGGCGTTTGGAAAATCCTGTCCGCCATTTTTGTTAATCTCTAATCACAGTTGTTGTTTTTACGTTATTCTTAATGTGCTAATTAATCAAAAAGGATATGTTGAAGTATCTTTTTATATTTATAGTCGTAGCTATCAGATGTGACCTTTCGTATTAAAAGTCTATAAACATAGTTTTATATCAGATTTGACCTTTCGTATTAGAGTCTATAAATTTTATATAGCTTTATATCAGATGTACAGGGCCGGCAAAATCGTAGAAAATTGTACTTGTCCACGGACAAGTAACCTAAGAAATTTACTTGTCCGTACTCAATGTTCACTTGTCCGTATTTATATTTAATATTTACTGCAAATGTCAATAAAGAAGAGCAATATGATTATGAACTTTCTTTCAATTTTATTAAATATTCCATGCCATATGTTTAATAATATAATATATTATGATTATAATATAATATATTTATAAAATGTTAACAGCAGTAGATTAAAGTAGGACGACAGTGATGGACAAATTGTGTATATTTTACTGGAAGGAGCATTGGTCTTTTGCCAGCACTTTTTCAATTTTCCTTGCACCCAAATTGCTTTAAAATATTGTCGTCATTTTTTTTGCACTCTGGTACCATTTCTTATTTATTCACTCCTTATTCTATTCATCTATATAATATTCATTTGAATCCTGTTAAAAAATCATATGTACTCTTGAGTTAGATTTGTCAAATTGATGACATCTGGCTTTTTTTAACGATATAATTATGATTGCCACAGAATGTAATATCATATACGTATAAACGCTTGGTTACGGCAGATGAATTGTGAAAATTTTGACATCATTACCATCGGCGACGATGAAACTGACATGTATACATTAACACCAGTATTAGACATTCAAAAACAAAGGCATTTTCACAAGAAATCTTTACATAAAATAAATTATAAAATGACTTTGTCCACATAAATTCAAGCAGTCAAATTGCCGATATGAGCGTAAATATTCCCGAATGACCTGGAAAAGCTACATTTTCATAAATAACACAGCGGTATTTCAAAGACAATTGTTGCGGGATTGATGCTGTGTCTGCTATCTAAACAATAAATGCGCTTGAAAAGACCACAGCTTCCAATTCAATTTTATGGCAGAACCCCGTTGCTACCGAAAATATTTGATTGCAGAGGCTAAGTCGGCAGACATAAACCAAAACAAACATGTACCCTCAATAATTAGTTAATTGCCGCGTGCATGCAGTAACTGCATGACGTAAGGAAAACCCCAAGCCTGGTTGGTCGCTATTTATGTAAACACTTGAAATAGTAACACCCTAATATGCACGGAATGCCCTCATGAATGACACCACACTTCACACGTTAGTTTTCGTATTAAATGTGTGATTTTCCTTCTGATTTAGATCTATTATAAAAAGAACTAGATTTTTTTCTTCAGAATTCCTCTTTTAGCCGCCCAAATTTACTTGTCCACGGACAAGTAAACTGCAGAATTTTACTTGCCCGGACCTACAATTTTACGACTCAGGCAACTCGGACAATTGATTTTGCTGGCCCTGGATGTGACCTTTCGGCCCCGCCTGGACTTTCCGCGTATAAGCACACATTAAAAACAGAGTATTCCGTAATTTTTATATCCTTTTCATCTGACTGTCATTAGAATAATATTATAATACATGTTATTCAAGTTTCTTCAAATATATTTCATTTGATGTAGGTCACAGCTGAACAAGTCAGTGTTGCAGGCATCACAGCTACTGGAAGAAACTTCCAATTTTAGAGTAGAAAAATTTGGCTTGCCTTTGCCAGTTTTGATAACAGAAGCTTTAACCTTTGCTGACAGTAAGTTTGGATCACTTAATTTACAAAACAAAAAACAATATGTTAAACAGTTTCAGATAATTCAGATGATTTATTTACAAAATGCATAAGTCCAACAATAACGGGATACATCAGCAGTGTACTTACGTAAATATATACATAATTATACATAATGAATAATGGCTATATTACATTCTTAGGGTGATAGTTATATATAGATACAATCATGAGATGAAAAAACTTAAGCTAAAATATTTAATAGTTCATAAAAACTATGCATGAATTACAATTTGATATAATTATAGAAAGACAAGTCATTTTTTGCCACCTGCCTAGAAGAGTTAATAGTTCTAGTATATATCAAAGTAAGTAATTTTATAAGGTACATTACAAGACATTTTCAGTATTTTTTATTTTGTTTATTTAGAGAGTACTAGGATCAGTGTGAAGGTAGATGAATGTGGTTGGGCGTGGCTTGTTGGAGGAAGAAAATTGTTTGTTTGGAGATATAAACAAGCACAAGCAGGCAGGGTATGTTATTACAAGATGTAATTTAAATATAGATTTTGGATATTTTTCGCTGTTTGGGGCTTGAAAAACTTGTTCGCTATAGCCAAAAATTTGTTTTAAGCTTGTACGTATTAAGCTATGATATTTAATATGAAATAAAGAAGGAATTGGCCATGCATATCAGATTAAGTATGCTATTTACGATAATTCGTTATAAGCAGAGTTGACTGTATATGCTTCCTAAGTTTCATGTTTAATTAAATCAAACTGTTTTAAAAATTAAGAAATATCTTAGCAGTAAAAAGTTTAACTTTGTTTCTCATCAGAAATATCTTATTTGTATAGAAATGTCAAATAAAATAAATGTCAAATATAGGTAAAAAAAATCAAAAAATATGGTTTTGATATGCTTTAGTTACTAATGATTACACTGAAAAATTCTGTACTGGTAAGGAGATATTATAGTTGTGTATGTAACATTTTCAGAATATTTTATGTAAAGAGTTGACATTACCTCCAAGTGATCTTGCTCACAGTGCTGCAAGGGTTTGTGTGATCCCGAGCTGCGGTGACAGTCAGTCCGCGTCATGTATTGCGGTGTCACCAGAGGGCGTTATCAGATACTGGTCAAATGTTGCATATGAGGCTTCATCAATGGAAATCAGTGCAGAGCTGAAGGGAGAGGAGTGTGACTGTGTTGTCAATTTATCTGTTAGTTGTTGTTTTTTTTGCTGCAAAAAATAAGCCTTAGTTTTTATTTCTAAGTCTTAAAGAAAAAAATCTATCCAGCTAGCCTCTCAGAAGGTTAGTGGTTTTACTCAGGGGCCAACTTGTGCTTGAAATGATGAATGGGTGGGAACTTGAGGTTGTCCTTCACCAGTAAAGCTGGAAGGTTGAAGGTTCTACATGAGGGCTCTATGTGAAATCATGTACCAAAATAGCATATTTTTAAACATACTGCTTATTAAAGGAAAATGTATTACCTTAGTGCAGAAAATTCATCAGATTTGTTGTGTTATATCAGTGATTCATAAAAATGGATGGATGATAAAGTTGAGAAATTTAAATCTTCCTTCAAAAAAAAATGAATTGTAACATATGTTGCATGCTTGATCCTCTTACAAGATGGAATATTTTTTGATAACACTGATTATAAATTAATTGATCTTTTATTTTAAGCTTGTCTGTTTCGAAAAAAAAATTAGCTTTTATGATCATTGCATTATTGTCGTCCAAAAACTTAAATGTAGCCCATCATTAAAACATTTGAAAAGTTATCAACATGAAACTTGGAATACTTGTTTTTCACGACAAGGCTCAGTTTTTAGACAAGAGGCATAATTCTGAAAGCAGTATTTTTGGGTTTATTACCCTGTTTAACTTAAAATTTTTAACAGACGAACGTTAACACTGCATGAAGTGGTCTTGTTTTTAGACTTAGGGAATATGCTGTAAATGTTATGAATTTATTTTTATATTTTAGCCCTTTGGATGTTTACTGGCAACAACAACAAGTTCTTTGGTGATGATAACAACAGTACCTGGACAAGTATGCTTTATTTCAATTCATTTTAATAGTTTGATTTTCTTTCAGACACCTAAGGGGATGCGTGGCCGAGTGGTTAAGGGCCTTGACTTCAAACCACTTGCCTCTCACCACTGAAGGTTCAGGCAGTGTAAGCCTCGTGGGATCCTACATATGAGGAAGCTATCCAGCTAGCTTATTGAACGTTGAAGGTTCTACTCCAGTTCCCATTTGTGCTTGAAATAATGTACAGAGAGCCGCTTGAGGTTTTCCCCCACCAGTTGCCATATGAACCCTACAAAAAACATTCAGACCCCTAGAAATTATGATAATGATATATAAAAGTAAAATACATATATAAAAGGCCCATAAATAGCTGTAGATAATGAAGGGAAATTTCTGTATTGGTTCCCAAAATAGATCTTCATAAATTATTTATAAAATTTCTTTTCAAAATATATTAATAGGGATTTAGCAGTAAATAAAATATTTTTATCTCAAAAGAACAAGTTTTAATAAAATGTGTCATTGCTAAGCAGAGCTTTGTTAGACTTGTGATTATTTTCTTAAACTTCATCCAAATTCTATGGCTGTTGTGATAGATTGTTTATTTAGATGAATGTTTGGCCCATATTATTTGCATATTTTATTCCCTATAAATTGTGTTAAAAATTTCACTCTGCCTCTTTATATAGAACAGTGTAAGCTGCCACCCTCTGAAAGCTACTCAAGGAATGTTTGCAGGGATAGGACGTAGAATGTCATCATTGATCTTTGGTGGTGCACAAGGACAGACTATAGGAACAGTAGGTTTCTTACTTTCATTAAACTTGGAACCATTTGCTAGAAGCCTTGGAACCTGTGTGATATGGATTTTTTACTTTCATTAATCATTACAACTCTAAATAGAGACCTCTGCATGAGTGGTAAAATTTACTGACTTTGAATCACTTATCGTTAGTCAATGCAGATTCAAATCAGGTCAGTCCACCTAATTGGTTTTCCTGGATAACTAACCTGTAACTACCAACATGGCCGCATGTGACTAACTACTAATCCCACATGAAACAGCAATGAGAGACCATTAGTTTCAATGTCCCTAAGATCAGATGTCACAGAGAAAAATTTAGCCTCACCTGAGGATTGAACCAACAGTCCCATAATAACAAATCCTATGCTCTCCCTATTGAGCTCAGTTGATGGATGTTGTTTCTACTCTTAAATTGTATATTTATTTTGTAGTAGATAAAACATTTTTGTTAAATTTCATTTGATTTACTTGTGACAACATAATATATATGTTAATGTTTCATGAATTTTGATGCAGTTTTCTCATTTGTTGATATACCCTGGTTATATTGTTTATCTAGCAGTAATTGATATAACCTAGTAATATTGTTTATGTAATTGGTAAACACTAGTAATATTGTTTATGTAATTGATACAGACTCTACAAGCTGTGATAAGTGGGAGACATGAAGAAGATGAGCGGCCTTTCTATGTACTGTCAGGAACCTATGTTAACAAATGGGTCATTGGAGATTATAACATGGAAAAGGTTTGTCTCAAACATACATGTACATATCTGATATTTTATGAAGCTTTTGAAGTTGAGTTAATATAAAATGCTCAGCAATGGATGGAGTTTAATTTTAAACAGATTTCTTTATTTATAAAACTCTTGAATAAGCTGAATACATTTCTATTGAATTATGTTTTTTTATGACACTATATTATTTTGTCTACTTATGTGATCTCAGCCATTTCGTTATACTCCACATTTTGCTTTAGAACTTCTTTGAGTTTATTTACTTTTGGATGTTGTGATTTGATTGTACTCGAGGAACATTTCTGCACTGATTTTGATAACTATATGTTTTATAGGTCAGTCAGAAATGATTCAATTTTTGTAGGAATCTGACATTTTTAGCTCGACTATTCGAAGAATATGAGAGCTATTGTAGTCGCGTTGGGGTCCGTGTCTGCAATTTTTTAAGAATTATTTGCCCCTTTGAAACTTAGAAATTTTGGTCAAAGGTTAAAGGTCTTCAAAGATATTTACTTGAAACTTTACGCATGTACTTAGGGTCAAAATTGGAGGGTCATAATTGTATGTCACTGACCAAGTTCCATAACTTTATCTTGCATTTAGGCTGATTCATCTCCCCTTTTCTACTTAGTCTCTTGGTTAATGTTCACATGCAAGTTTTACATATCTCAATAACTATTAAAGATATTTATTTAAAACTTCACATATGCATTTAGAATCATAATTGTAGGTCACTGACCAAGATCCGTAATTCTAGGCTGATTTTTCTCCCCTTTTTCAACTTAGTGATTCATGGTAAAGTTTTGCTTGTAAGCTGTTATCTCCATAACTACTGAAGGGTTTGTGCCTTTTTTGGGACAATTTTATGCATTCATTATTATAAAGCAGTGATTTACTTGATAAAATATAATAATAACAAGCCTTTGTACCTTTTCGGTCAATTTTATGTATTCATAGGTAATAAGCATTATTATACTCAATGAAACACCCTTGTGACAACCTTTTTGAATAGTCGAGCCAATACTGTCCTCCGACAATTCTTGTTTAATATAATCATATCTATTTCAGTTTCTGTATCAGATAGATGCTGACAGACTATTTAGAGAAGCCTTGGCAAAGAAAGTTTGGGTGAGTAGTGGGATAATGCAGGACAGATGCTGCCCAAAAAATATAATTGTTGGAATAATTTTTTGGCTGAACCAAATATAGAAATTGTGTATTTATTTTTGATGTGTCCTCCTTTGAAAGGAAAAATGTCAAAAAGTCAAATTTAAAAGAATACAGGAGAAGCAAAGAATTACTGCTAAGCTTCCTTTATTAAATTTGTAACAAACTTGTGAAAGTTTAATAATATCTACATAACTATGTTTTATAATTATATGCAATAAATTATTATTAAACTAAACTAGGATAAAGATGCTGTACAGATGACCCAGCTGACAACATGGATGTTAGACATGCATCTCACAAGGTGAGTGTTTTAGTTTTATATTATTAAATGTGATTAACTATGTTAGCAAGTAAGCTGTAAATTTTTATATTTGTTTATAAACTTGCATTTTCCTACTGCTTTAAAGTAGAAAACAGAGCATGTACTGTTACACATGTAGGACAAGGGACAGAGAGATAGTCTCTCTAAAGTACAGTTTGAGATATTACATTATGAATGGCCTTCAAATGAGTTATCTTCTGAAATTTAAGATTGTTGAATTACAAAAAAGATTTATATTTTTCTGTACATGTATATTTTTACAGCGATGGCATTGTTCTTCTGGGAGCAGGATTTGACTCGGAAATGGATCCTGTTGTCCATTATGCTTTAGGTATGTATGCCATGAAGCAAGGTATTTTTTTAACATATAATTATGATTTATGTAGAATTATAAGTTGCATCTAACTATACTGTGTATATACTTTAGAACTGAACTTGTAATGTGTTGATTTTTAAAAAGTGATCTATAATTGGGGCCCAGTGGTCATTGTCTTTGACTGCAAAGCTGTTGCTAATTATTTTACCAAGACCTTTTGGAATTCTTTGAGGAAGGCATCAATGTGTATGCTAAAGGCTTGTTGATGGGTTTACATTGACCCCTGTCTGTGAAATAACACATAATACATAGGCCATATTCTCCAGTAGAGCTGGTTTGATTAGTTGTCATTTTTGTGTCGCCTCTACGGAGTAGTGGCGACATATAGGGATCACTTCTCCGTCGTCTGTCTGTCCGTCCGTCCGTCACAAAACTTGTCCGGACTCATAAACTCATAACTCATGTTACTCCTCATAAACTACTGGTAATTTCATCCAAACTTTACAGGAATAATCAGTACCAAGTCTAGTTGTGCATATTGTCAGCATTTTCCGGTTCAATGATTTTTGTCAGAGTTATGGCCCTTTAATAATTTTTATTTTTAAAGTTTGTCCGGACTACTTCTCTTATACCACTAATGCAATTTCAATGAAACTTTACAGGATTGATCTGTAGCTCAAGTCCTTGCTCGGGTTTTCTGGTTGAATGATTTTTGGCCAAGTTATGGCCCTTTGATAAAAAGGTGTTTTTTTCTGTGTGTTGCCAGATACACAAAAGCTTGTCCGGACTACTCCTCATAAACTAGTGGTGAAATTTTATCCAAACTTAACAGGAATGATCAGTACCAAGTCTAGTTGTGCATATTGTCAGCATTTTCCGGTTCAATGATTTTTGTCAGAGTTATGGCCCTTTAATAATTTTTATTTTTAAAGTTTGTCCGGACTACTTCTCTTATACCACTAATGCAATTTCAATGAAACTTTACAGGATTGATCTGTAACTCAAGTCCTTGCGCATATTGCACGGGTTTTCTGGTTGAATGATTTTTGGCCGAGTTATGGCCCTTTGATAAAAAGGTGTTTTTTTCTGTGTGTTGCCAGATACACAAAAGCTTGTCCGGACTACTCCTCATAAACTACTGGTGCAATTTTATCCAAACTTTACAGGAATGATCAGTACCAAGTCTAGTTGTGCACTGTCCGTCTGTCACAAAATTTGTCCCAACATGAAATTGGCCATCATGAGGCGACACATGTGATTACTCGCTCTTGTAATAAAAATGAAAAATTGTCAGACAAAAAAAAAACAACATGCAATGTACTAGCACTGTATATATTGGTATTATTATTTACTGGTTGTTTATGTATAAGGTATGTATATTACAGCAACTATAGACACTGATTGTAGTGGAACACCATCTAAATTAGAGGCTTTTAGAGTACTCCAGTTTACAAAGAGATACAATGTAAGTATGTCTTTGTTATCATATAGTGTATATTTTCTATGACTGCCAAAACATTTATGGTCTGTAAACCAAACATTACTTGAAATATATTAAACATTGGTCTGTAATTTGCTTTAACTAAAATAATATGACCTATATAGACGGTTGTTTGCAATATATTACTCGCCTACCGGCCCAGGTTATGTTTCCAAACATCCGTTTATATATAGCCATATAACATGTCAAAAAATCTTTATAACTTATGATATAAATGATTATCAAATGAAAGGCGACGCTACAAATGTGCAGTATTATACAGATATATACATGTATATACCTTAATATATGACAGGAGGAGAATGAGGTTGATATACTGGGCTACAGATTACTGGTTCCTGAAGATAATCAAGATAGTGTGTACCTGTATAATGATTATACCATCATCATGGACAATGGTCAGTATAAATTAACATTTAACCTGCTAGAACCAAATGCATTTGCGATCATTATGGAGTCAGGCCAGTCTGTACATTACAGCAGTCAGATCATAGTCCTTTACTGATGGTTGTTCAATTTTAGCATTATATATAATACTGAATTTCCTTAGATTTTGAGGAGGCTGTATCAGGTTTATAACAAAGCAAGACTACTGTGTAATTTAAGTGTTGTAATGGTTAATTGTCTAATTTCCATCAGAAGACAAGTTGTCCTGAGTTTTCCATGTATATATCAAGCAAAAAATTTGAGTTACATATTTAACCATGAATTAATAAATTTTGACAAATGACTTTTGTGCTTTATTGATTTAATGTTTTTATCACCAGATTTTTGGGTTTGCTGCTCTGAAGGAAGAAATGAACACTACTGTTGTATGCCTTAGAATTATATTTACACATCTCTCTTTGAAAAGACACTTTTTAAACAGATTTCTATTTGTTTGTATTTTTCTTTACCTTAAATATCTTTTTGCTTAAGAAATGTGAATTTTGTTTCTAACTTGTTACAGGAACAGGTGAAATGTCTGAAGAATTACCTGCCCCTGGTGGACGCTTACTTGGTGCTGGTAAGTCAGTTGTGTTAAAACTGTGTATAAATAACTAGTTAGTCAGCTGTAACGATATCTGTATTAATAGCTGGTTCAATCCTTGGATGAAATGTATTTTGTCCTGGGCATTTGTTTGATCTAGGACATTGAGTCTAATGGTCATTTGTCTCCCACCACTGCATCAAAAATTATGTGAGATTACTTTACAAGTAGTCAGTCATTTGGAAAAGAAAGGGTAATTACTGGTTAATTATCTAGGAAAGCCAGTGAGATGGATCAGCTGCAGAAAAATGACCAAAAAATGTGGGTAAAAATCCTTGCCATAGTTATATAGTGCATAGCAAACTAGATAACAATGTGTGCTTACTGGCTATGATAAAAAAAACACCTCAATTTCACAATTTATGGATGAAGAAAAACAACTAAACTGTTTGACAGAAAACACACAGACAATATGATGTTAAATGATTTTATATTATCAGGTATATCTGATAGTACAGCTGTGTTCTTCTCTGTCAGCCAAGGACTCATCAGCATTGCCTCCAATCTCAAACAGAATCAAAGGTAAATATCTGTAATAAATTCTTTCTACCAGAACTTGCAAGAAACAGAATATTATATTTTCTGCCTTTAATAAAATGTTTGCAATGATTATTTATATACATCTATGTAAAATGATTTGTATCTTATATATTCAGATTTACCTAGAATGATATAGAATTCAACCTCAGTCAACTATATAAGGGAATTGACTCAGTGATCAAGAGTATTCTATTTATTTGTGTTTTTAAGTCTATAAGAAAATGAAAATTTAATCACTGAAGTTGAAAATTCAAAGTACCTGAGACATGAACTTAATATTAATGGTAACCAATAAAAAAGTATTTGTTTATTCTGATAAATATTTAAACTCTTCAGAAAATGTTATCTTTTTCTCACTGTTTTTATTTGGCTTTAAACTTTGAATTATGTTTTAAGCTAAATAAACTATGTGTTTGTTTATAAATATATGTGGGAAATACTTCTGTTTCAGTATTCTAGATGAAGCCACGCAAGAACTTGTATCCAGGGGTGATGTGGTAAGAATTCTTTTATTTATTCTTCATGTCAAACAGATTTTAATCATCAAAAAAAGAAACATTTCACTTGCTGTAGTAAAATCATAATGAATCTCCCTGCTCATGTATGATACACATTTATTAGATTGATTAGATAGAATAGGGAGAGCTATTGTACTCACTCAGACTGCTGCATCACACTTTTGGTTAAGTTTTTGCATGCAGGTTGGTATTTCCAAAACTACTGAAGAAAATGGTTTGAAACTTCACACATTTATATAGAGAATATCCAAGGCCCATCACTCTGACGTTGATTTTGACAGAATTATAACCCTTTTTGAACTTTAAGTTACTTAAAAAAAATTTGATTATCCAGGCTCTTGTTTTACAATCAAGTACAATCAAGTACTCAGAAAAGAACTTTGAGCACACTGTCCTATCATCACTATTGTTTCGGTAATATATCAGAATGCTACAATAGGTCTACCCAGATCGCATTAAGAATTTTTTTAATGGGAATTTTGAACAATAATTATAGAAAATTATGCATTTATGTTGTTGGGAAAAACCATCTGAAGAGGAAAGAAACGCTGCTTAATTCACTGTTTGTTGTGCCTCACTTACCTCAAAATTTCCCAGAAAAAAATATTAGACAGGTTTTGTATTTTCTTTTGATTGTGTATAATACATTGTTTACCATGGTAATGTTGAATATTTTGTGTACATGTAGACCCAGTTGGCAACAAGTAGCACCCAGATAGAGGAGTTGAGCATGAGTGACGATAAATCTGCGAGGTTAAAAGCTGCCTTCCTCAGTGCATGCAGTGGCAACCTGGTATGTTATTATGAAGTTATTTTTCCCCCAAATAAGGTACATGTAATATTAACAACTATTTCAGCCGAACTTTTGATGTGATTAATATTGAAATCATCTTGTTATGCTCCCCAAAAAATTTCGGGGGAGCATAGAGTCGTCGGGTTGTCTGTCCGTACGAACCCAGAGGTACTTGTGTGACTTGGAGAACAATGAGTAACAGTCAATTCTCTTCAATCCTAACCTTTCCGCATTTACTTTTGTGTCTTTTTTTAAGCCTTGTGTGACTAAAAATGGCCAAAAAGATCATATGAAAAGTCACATAAGTACCATTTTGTGAGTACGTCAGTCCGTCCGTACGTCCCAAATTCGTGTCCGGCCCATAACTTTGTTGTTTGAAGTCGGATTTTAAAACTATATCACAGAAATGATCACCATATTGAGACGATGTGTCACGCGCAACATTTGGGTCGCTGCCTTGAAGGTCAAGGTCACAGCATGACCTTGCATCAAAGTCGTGTCCGACCCATAACTTCATTATTTGAAGTCAGATTTTAAAACTATTTCACAGAAATGATCACCATATTGAGAAGACGTGTTGCGTGCAACATTTGGGTTGCTACCTTGAAGGTCAAGGTCACAGCATGACCTTGCAGCAAAATCGTGTCCGGCCCATAACTTTGTTATTTGAAGTCGGATTTAAAAACTATTTCACAGAAATGATCACCATATTGAGACGACGTGTCACACGCAAAATTTGGGTCGCTACCTTGAAGGTCAATGTCACATCATGACCTTGCAGCAAAATCGTGTCCGGCCCATCACTTCGTTATTTGAAGTCAGATTTTAAAACTATTTCACAGAAATGTTTTTATGCTTTGAACTGTGTCTGTGACATAACTCTGACACTACAAGAGGTATACCTTCCTGTGTCCAAAACCTATTCGGGGAACATCACCCAGTTCAACCGGCTCTTGTTTTGTTCCACAGAAAGTGTTTCTGTTATAAGAGGCTCAAATATGTCATATGTACAACATAATGTCTCTAATTTAAAGCAAAGGTATGGTGTGACCCAAGTTTTTATGCCGCACCTTTGAGATGGAGGATGCCCATAGATTTGCTTTTGCCCGTCCATAGACTGACAAAACAGTGGAATGTGGAGGCATCCATTTGGTTGTGGTTGAAGGCTTATAATCAGTTTCCCGCCATTGATTTGGGTTTAAAGCTTGTCTAGAAGTTGAATTCTTTCAGGACTGTAAAGAAGCTTTCCACCTTACTTAATGAAGGTCAATTGAACATCTTGAATGTCCGTGTTTTGCTAAAGATAATGCATTAAAGGGGATTCTGTGCATGTTTTTCACTACTGAAGTTTTTAATTCATTACAAAATTTTAACTTGTGGCTGAGTGGTTAAGGTCGTTGACTTCAAACCACTTGCCCCTCACTGCTGTGGGTTCGGATCCCTACAGGGACTTTGGATTCTTTCATGTGTGGAAGCTATCCAGCTAGCTTACAGAATGTCTGTGGTTCTTCTCAGGTGCCCTTTCGTGCCTGAAATAATGCACAGAAGGGCACCTGATGTCTTCCTCCACCAGTAAAGCTGGAACATCGCGATATAACTTATACTATGTCGATGTGACATGAAAACCCAAAACAAATAATGGCTATATTAAGACCCAAATGAAGAAAATAAACAACAAAGAAACATTCTTTGACTCAACTCAGTTTGTAAGGATAAAATCTTATTTGAAGAAGTAAATTAAATTATGTTTCTGTAGAAACTAATGATAATCATTTGTTTTTTTCACTGTTTCATCAATCAGAAACAAGCTCAGGATATTGTGAATGACCTATTCCCAGAGAACATTGTTTCATCAGGGAACCAGACCACAGATATAGATAGACTGGTTTCTGGCCTCAGTCGTGATCTCATAGACGACCCACCAGCCTCGGACCCAAGATGGGCGGAAAATGTTAGACCTGGTAAGTTGATAATTTGTGATAGAACATGATGAATGAAAAACAGATTGAATGAAATTAAGTAACACTGAAATTGGCTTGATTTTTGCAAGTTTTCACATTTTAGTTGCCAGGTGTTTGCCATTAGGAATAAATTTGCTTAAGTAACAAATAACTGAAAAGCATGTGCGATATTGTATGTGGAAGAAGATGAGATAACAGTTCATTTAACTTGATTTGTGTTTAAATAGTAACAATGATAATTATTTCCCTATGCTACAGTAGTTTCAGCATATATGCTGTGTTATCATACTTGGTGTTGTTGGCTGGCATTATTTTACTATTTCAAATTAATCAAGTGTAGATTAAGTCTGCTATACACACTTAGTAACTTAACAGGGACGGCAAAATCAATTGTCAGTATTGCCCAAGTTGTCCCACAGCCTCTACGGACAATTGGTAATTTTCAAGAATTTACAATTTAAATATCATACGGACAAGTTAAGAAATTCTGAAAACCGACAAGTATGTCTAATTTAGATTTTACCAGCCCTGTTAGTAGGGTTAAAACAATAAATATTGTAATGTATAAAAAGTAGGAGAGAAACATGCCGAGGTTAATGGGTGTATTATCCTAATATTACAGATTCTGGTAGCAGCACCTCTTCTCTGATAATTCTCCAACAATTGAAAGATAAACAGAGAGCACATGAGTATATCATCAACTTTCTAAAGAAACTAGATCTCTGGGATAAGGTTGGTTTTATTATGCTCAACTAATCTTTCTGCCTTATGTAAAAACAGTCCCAATATTTCCCACATATTGCAAATAATGGTTGGTTTCCCAGGATGAGAATTACTTGTAATTTCCAGATGGGAATTCCAACCATTCCAGCCAACCCTGGTAAAAATGTTTGAATTTTGTTCAGCGGTTGCAATTTCATATATATAGTATATTTAAGTTTGATTGTGTATAAAGTTGATTGCTTATAGACACACTCTTGAATCCGTTCCTGCAACCAAATAAGATTGTCAGCACTATCTTTTGCAAACATGATTATAATCTCATTTGGCTATAGGTTCAATTTCTATATAAAAGGCACATGTGATAATTTCATTTTTGAACTGAAGGTTTTTATATACTAGTAATTTAACATACTGAGCACATAGAGAGTAGAATGTCTTGCACCATTTTTGTGTCGCCTCTACGGAGTAGTGGCAACATATAGGGATCACTTCTCCGTCGTCTGTCTGTCCGTCTGTCTGTCCTTCCGTCCGTCCGTCACAAAACTTGTCCGGACTACTGCTCATAAACTACTGGTGCAATTTCATCCAAACTTTACAGGAATGATCAGTACCAAGTCTAGTTGTGCATATTGTCAGCATTTTCCTGTTCAGTGATTTTTGTCAGAGTTATGGCCCTTTAATAATTTTTAATTTTAAAGTTTGTCCGAACTACTTCTTTTATACCACTAATGCAATTTCAATGAAACTTTACAGGATTGATCTGTAGCTCAAGTCCTTGCGCATATTGCACGGGTTTTCCGGTTGAATGATTTTTGGCCGAGTTATGGCCCTTTGACAAAAAGGTGTTTTTTTCTGTCATTGCCAGATACACAAAAGCTTGTCCGGACTACTCCTCATAAACTACTGGTGCAATTTCATCCAAACTTTACAGGAATGATCAGTACCAAGTCTAGTTGTGCATATTGTCAGCATTTTCCGGTTCAATGATTTTTGTCAGAGTTATGGCCCTTTAATAATTTTTTTTTTAAAATCTGTCCGGACTACTTCTTTTATACCACTAATGCAATTTCAATGAAACTTTACAGGATTGATCTGTAGCTGAAGTCCTTGCGCATATTGCATGGGTTTTCCGGTTGAATGATTTTTGGCCAAGTTATGGCCCTTTGATAAAAAGGTCTTTTTTTCTGTGTGTTGCCAGATACGCAAAAGCTTGTCCGGACTACTCCTCATAAACTACTGGTGCAATTTTATCCAAACTTTACAGGAATGATCAGTACCAAGTCTAGTTGTGCACTGTCTGTCACAAAATTTGTCCCAACATGAAATTGGCCATCATGAGGCGACACATGTGATTACTGATCGCTCTTGTATTCATCTAGATATATATGCGTATTTACAATAAATAAATGTAGCTACTATGTATATTTTCCCTATTTGATTGATAATAAATGCTAGCCGGTGTTCAGTACATTTATCGCAGATAATAATTGTCAGTTGATAAAATATTTCTCTTTACTGTTAAGTATCATACTGTTTCAAGGTAAGACGATGGTGGTTTTAAATAGATAATATAAATCGCCAATTTAATCAACATGATAACACTGTCAGTAAAGTGTTGAGATAACTCAAAAATCGCGATAAAGAGAGCAAATTTGTCGGCTCTTGGACCCTTAAATGGAGAATGGAGGGATAAGTTAACCGCTTTAACTTTCTTGCTTCATCATAACAAACAGAAAAAATGGTTATGTTATATGATCTGGAGACAAAGAACACTCAGAAATGTATTTTCAGAAACAATGAGGCTGGTGACAATTTTAATTTATATTTCGACGTCACGAACGTCATTTTTGTGTCGCCTCTAAGGAGTAGTGGTGACATATAGGGATCACTTTTCTGTCGTCTGTCTGTCCGTCCGCCACAAAACTTGTCCGGACTACTCCTCATAAACCACTCATGCAATTTCAATGAAACTTTACAGGATTGATCTGTAGCTCAAGTCATTGCGCATATTGCATGGGTTTTCTGGTTGAATGATTTTTGGCCGAGTTATGGCCCTTGAAAAAGGTGTTTTTTTTCTATGTGTTGCCAGATACACAAAAGCTTGTTCGGACTACTCCTCATAAACTACTGGTGCAATTTCATCCAAACTTTACAGGAATGATCAGTACCAAGTCTAGTTGTGCATATTATCAGCATTTTCCGGTTCAATGATTTTTGTCATAGTTATGGTCCTTTAATAATTTTTATTTTTAAAGTTTGTCCGGACTACTTTTCTTATATCACTAATGCAATTTCAATGAAACTTTACAAGTTTGATCTGTAGCTGAAGTCCTTGCGCATATTGCATGAGTTTTCCGGTTGAATGATTTTTGGCCGAGTTATGGCCCTTTGATAAAAAGGTGTTTTTTTCTGTGTGTTGCCAGATACACAAAAGCTTGTCCGGACTACTCCTCATAAACTACTGGTGCAATTTTATCCAAACTTTACAGCAATGATCAGTACCAAGTCTAGTTGTGCACTGTCTGTCTGTCTGTCCAACATGAAATTGGCCATCATGAGGCGACACATGTGATCACTGATTGCTCTTGTCTCATGTATGAAATCGAAGCATATTTTACTTTGTTTCAGTTGCGAACTATAAAAGTAGGAGATCAACTCATGTCTACAAAATTGTTGCTATGTCAACATGCTGAACAGCTTCAAGCTGCATGTATCCTAAGAGAAATGCATACATCGTAAGTGACCATGACATTGCATTTAAATCCAATTTGATATATGAGTGAATTCTTTTCAATTTAAACATGCACCATTTGCTATTAAATTTTAGAGTGTTGGCTCATTGAGTAGTGTTAGGTCAATGAACAGATCTCGTAATAAGCGCTTTTTTTGCTGGGGGCGGGAGGTACAATTTAGATGACAGTAGTATTGTCACAACTGCTGTCAGTAATGATTTACATGCAAAAATGGCAGTTACATAGGGGAAATCAGTTTAGTACTATAGTTCTGGCAAAGATGTTTTTAGAATTTTCGTATTAAATTCTAACACTGTTTATTTCATTATTTAGTTATAGTGATGTAATTGATCCAGCTATACGTAAAGTGCTAACAACTAGAGGAGAACAAATGGGTACTGGATTATCTCCCCAAGATCTTTTCTATAGAGAGGTATGTTTGTTTAATTGTTGTTGTTGTTTTCTTCAATAATTTTGTGGCAGTAACAACGCTCTGCCGAGTTTTCGCTAAACAGTTAACCGAGAGCTAGATATTCCTGTCTGTGACAATAGCCAGTGTTTGATTAATTTTTCTTGCACATTACATGTTACATCTCATATTCAATTGACATTTTTGATAAGTGTGCCATTTTATATGGAATCTCTTGTCTATTTTGTTTCAGAAATTTTCTTAAAATAACATCTGACATTTGTAATTACTTGTAAAATACATAGAATCCAGAAAAATATTAAAAGCAACCTTGACCTTCCAAGTATGACAAACTTGTAATGAAACAAATTTTAAAATTTTTATCTGTGTTTGTATTGCAGGTGTCGCATGTACAGGATTTATTTGAAGCGCTGTTAGAATATGAGAGCGATATAATGGCTGGGAATTTCACACCATCTGACATCATTAACATTATTGCTTCAGTCAATTCTATATTAGAGGTTTGTTTCTATTTTCTTATACATTCCTCAGACCAGCCTTGAAAATACTTTTGGTTCCCCTCCCATAATCCCCTCCCATAACAGATGCCAGTTTGAGTAGGTAGGTGGGTAGTTTGGTATGTATATAAAGTTGTGGTAGGTCAAATTCGGTCTATCTTTATTCTTTTGAACATAGTACATTTGTGTATTTATATCTGAGTTATGAGGATTTCAAAAATAGAAATTGTAAATTTTTAGCATTTGTTTAAAGTTTGCAACCAGAGTCAAATTTTATTCAATGTAGACTGTGCAAAATCAAGAGACAAATATTTATAGATGTGATTTTGATTGACAAAAATATAACTTCTATGATTACTCAAAACAAATTGATGAGAAGTAACAATGTAGCAATGATTTCTTTGATGGGAAACAAACAATATTTTATTTTAGGCCTTTCCTACTAAATTGTTGGTTATTTAATTGCTGTACTTATATAATAGTTTAAGGGATTTCAATATTAAATCCTTGAAATAGTGCAAACGGTCATATAAAGCCCAGTCAGATTGCAATGGTTTGAAGACTGATCTAGCTTTATAATGGTGGCATAGACTTTCATTATTTCTGGTAGCACTCTTAGAGTTGATATCATTGAGTCTTTATACAAAATAATAGTTAAAAATTTGTCAAGGGCAGTCTTGTTTTATTTAAATTTAAATCGTGAAACTACAGATTTATGGGGTGCAAGGCATTATGGTTAGTAAGTAGGATCTAGAACCATTTGAATATGAATTATTTTTAGACTTGCAACTTTTTTATGATAATGAATTTTTTTTATTCTGCCTTTTGCTCTCTACTTCTGCAAATTTCTATTGATTTCCAAACATTTCAATATTTCAGGGAATGTTGCATGCAGCCATAGATTACCGTCAGAGTAAAAGCATTATCATATGGAACCGGAATGGAACTTACGCGTACACCGGAATTTATGCCGTGGACATCCACGTCTGGAACATCTGGGGTCAGAACACTTATTCATAAACAGGTACGATCACTTTCTAACAACAGAACTCTTAGTGAATAAACCAAATCCAAACAAACAATTTACTTTCATGGTAGCATCCACATTTAATAATGCATCTTGCTGCACTTCCCTGCCATTGAAAGTACCAGTATTAATTCTATCATATTGTTCAAATGGGGTTGTATTGATTTATTATAACCGCTGTGGGTTAAAATCTTGCCAGACCCTGCCAGCTTATCAAATGTTGATGGCTCTACTTGGGGTGCCTACATATGCCTGAAATAATACAAAGAGAGGCACCTGAGGTCTTGCTCCACCAGAAAAGCTAGAAAGTGGCCAAAGAATCACAACTTTGTTAGTGCGACAGAAAAACCCAACAACAACAAAAAAATTTTGATTGATATTACATAATTTTCAGTTCATGTTGACATTAGACTCAGCCATACCAGAGGTTAGAGATTTAGAAACACGTGAACAGCTGTTTCAGCATATGATAGCATTAGCTGACAATATTCTAGATGGTTACAACAGCCAGATTGCCTCAATATGTAACAATGAAGATATGGTAGAATACACAATGCAGGTTGAGGAACAATATAGACAAGAGAGACATAATCTGATTGGTCCTTTCTGTAAGTATATTATAATTTTACCAGTGTCCAATTATGTCAGTCTGTTCGTGTTTTTGCTATAATACTAAGATATATAGGGTTTGTGAGAAACAATATCAGTTTGCGGCAAACACTTGCCCAAATGATTGTTATAAGTTGTTGAAGCCCAATTGGGAGGTTAAATTCTTACGGCCAGCAATTTGGGTAAAATCTGTAAGCCAGCAAATTTGGGCCAAAAATCTTTGAATGAGCAATTGGCTATTCAGGTAAAATCTTATAAGGCTTAATGAGGTAAAAATGTCATATATTTGATTAAGGGATATCTTAATAAGCCAATTAATCTTGCAGCAATTTAATTAGATATATACATAATTCAATTTTTAGGAAATCAACTTGAAACAAAAATCTTATATATGATAAAAAAATCTAAAAATATTAGCTGAATGAGTTAAATATTTTGTTTAAATGAATTGGCGGTGAGGGGTAAAATCCTATTATTAATTTTAAAATTTTTATAATGAATTTAATCAGGGCAAAATGTATATCAGAGATAGAGATAAAAATTTATGGAGCAATAATTGATATTATGCATAAAATATTAATTACATGTTTAGAGGAACAGAATATTGATCAGTTATTTTTGGTTGTTACTTGTCTGTTTTTAGCAGAAAGAGGGACATAAATGGCCCCATTCCCATTACTAAAACGGGAAAAATTTTTTTCGGGGAAAAAAAATTTAAAAAATTTCTATATTTTAAACCCCTTGGGATTTTTGCTGGGCCCGGGAAAGCATTTAAAAATCGAAAAATCCTATTTTTATTAAGTTTTAATGTCAAATGCTTTTCAAAATGAAATATCTTTCTACATTTCCTAAAATAAATTTAAATTTTTCAAGTGTTTTTGGAAATAAACATTTTTATGAGGGGGCTGGTTTCCCTGGCCAGAAAAAATTACTGTTTCCCTTTTTGAAAAAATGTTTGAAAAAGGGAATTTTTAATTGGGGGGCCAAGGGGAAAAAGGAGAACCACCAAAAAAAGGTTTCAAAAAGTTTACCCGGGCAAAACCCGTTTTGCTGAAAAATTTTTTTAAGATTGATAGTTGGTTTCATTGGGGGATTTTTAAAATTTAAAAATTAATGGGGAAACCCGGTAACTTATAGGGCCCAAATTTTGGGAAAAAAACCCATTTGGGCCTTTAAATTTTTAACCCTTTCCCCCTAAAAAAATTTTTTTAATAACCCTTTTTCATGGCCCAAAAAGTAATATCCCCCCAGGAAACCTGTAAACCCTAAAACCCCCGGGACACTTTCTATTTTTTCCCCCTGTTCCCCCGGGCAAATAATTTGGGGGAAAACTTTCGAATTTTTGAAAATTTTTGGGACAAGCTGAATTCTTGCCAATTTTAAAAAAACTTTCCCCTTTTTTTTTCTTTTTTAAGGGTTTTTAAAAGGGTTTACAAAGGTTCACATTTAATTTTTTTTCTTAATTTTAAAAAACAAAGGTTTTATTTTCAAACCCAATGAAACCTTTTTTTTACACAAATTTTAAAAGGTTAGGGGTTTTAAAAAATTTGGGGTTTTCAGACAAAATTTTTGATAAATTCGGGCCCCATTTTTTGTTATTTTTTGACAAAATTAAACGGGAAGTACCACCCAATTTCCCCTTCTTTTTATTTTTTTTTAAAGGGTTTCTCAAAATTTTCCCCCCTTCCTTTGGTTCCATAAAGAAAGGTAAATTATTTTAATTTTTCCAATTTATATTTTCCCCTTTTAAAATTTTTCGAAATTTCCCTTTAAATTCAATTCCCCAAAAGGGGGGTTTAAAATTTTTTGGGGGGTTTTTCTAATAACAAAACCCCTTTTAAAGAAACTTCCCCTTTTTCTACGGGGTGCCCAATTTTACTGACCATTTGTTTACTGTGCACAAACACAATTAAGATCATATGGTGCAGAAACAGAAAAGATTATTTTGGCTTATCCCCAGATGTTACAAACTTAAATCAATACCAGGGCTGAAAACCACCTATACTGCTGGAGCTAAGATATGCATAGACTCCAGTAATTTTAACCCATTTATTCGCCTTTGATAAGTACAGACTGTGTGTGTTTCTGTAAATATTATTACAGAGTACATTTTTTCTGTGATAGTAAGATTTTCTGAATCTATCAAAAATGTAAACCTCATAATATTAGCAAGAGTAATTAATTGTTCATGCCACCAGTATATAAACAGGCCAGTCTGCACATCCTTGCAATCTTACCATACTTAAAAAGTTCAAATTTAACATTTTAATATTGAAATCTGTAAATGAACAATGCATACATGAAGATGTCAGCATGACCCTGATCTTTCTACTTCAAATTATCAGATTATTGGATTACAGAAAGAATCACAATATATTTTTTTTACTTAAGAACATGCTTCAATGTTAGTGGTTAAATCAAATAAAAGCTCAGTGTACCGATCAGTGTACCGATCTATCTCATATGAAATTGATGTTGTTCATGTATTACATTAGAATGGAAGATAAATATTTGTGGGCTAGTGGTATAGATCGCCCCATTAAAGCAAAAAGGTACCAAGTGACATTTTCATGTTTTCGAGAAAATCGCGTTTAAAGATTTGAAGTTCCATATCAAATCAGGTTTTTACACCATGGCAAAGAAACTTCACATATATTTAGATAATATTTGAATGTACATACTCAAAAAGTTGGAAAGCTTATATTATCACTTTAATTTAGTGATAATTAATTCAATTAAAGGAAAAATGGTTCCTTTTTTCGCCACTAATAAATATTTTTAACCAACAAATGCCAAGAAAGGTACCATATTGATCGCTTGGTCCCCTTTTTGCATTGATGATTTTTAACCATTTCTGTCGAATATATCAAAAAAAAGGTAACCACTATGGCATTTGGCACCTTTTTGTCGGCCCAAAAATATTAACAAAAAATTACAGTTTTATTCTACAAATGATGCAAAAATAATAATATGAAATTCTTGTGTTTTCAGTTAAACATCTGATACAACTTATTAAACTGCATGCTCTGAAAGTTCTTCCTCTGTTGATCAATCTCAATGCCTATGTCAAAATCTCTTTACATTTCTTAGTCAAAAATCAGAATCATTCTCATCCGATTTGATTGTGACATAACTTCTTTTCTTTTTCTTGTATGTTGGCTAAAGTGGCATTATAATTATGGAACTCTTTTTTGGGATAATTTTCCTTTGCACACAAAGTATAACCAAGTCATTTTTCTTTTTGAAAAAGAAACTGATGGTTTTTGGTATCTATAACTTTCATATCTTGTTCACTATTTGCTTCCACTGATTCTTTCTTTCTGTCTACGATTCTGTATTCTGAACTTTCTATTTCCATTTAAAATCTTCAGCATTGAAAACTGTAATTTACAAAATAATGGACTTTTGGGTATTTCCTTTGGTACCTTTATCCCTTTTACCTTGTAGTCATTTTACTCTTTGTCCTTCAATGTATGTTTTTGAGTCCCGCGACACTGTTTTTCAAGGAAGTATTTGAAATCAAAAACATGCGTTAATATTTCAATTGGCACAGGCAATGTATGACTGATTTTCTGACCAGTGATATGAGAGAACACAACTGAATGATACATAATTATACAGGAGTTATTTTTCCTTTTGCCCTTTCAAGAGTCAAATTATCACTCCATCTGTGAGTGAACCCAAATACAAGAAATTTGTGATGATCTATCTTAAACTTGGAACTTGTGATAATATAAAAGAAGAGACGCAGCTACGAATCAATTTCTGTTTTGTCCCCCGTATTGAATCTGAAAAATATATGACTTTATTTTGACATTACCACTTCTGGCAAGTAGAAAAGGGGTTTTTTATTAAGCCAGGAAGCTATTTCACATGCCTTCTATTTGCAGTAGGTTTTATCCCATACAAGAAATACAACATTTTTGTCTCATAAGGCAATACACTGGTCAAGTTGTGTAGCAACAGTTTTCTTGAATAGTAAAGCGCACTCACTCAAATGAGCAAGGGGGTTGTTTACCAACGGCCTTGAGATTAAAACATGCAACATAAACGCATGTGTCACCTTTTTGCTCCAACTTTACTTTTTAACCTTTTTCTTGTTGTGGAATTTTCCTTCTGTTTATTTTGATGTTCAAATATATTTGCCCTTGATTCCACTATTCTAGTGTGCCTACTGCCTTCTTCTATTGTACAGTGATATATAATGAACATTGGGTCTTTTTTTTTGGGTTTGGAAAATGACTTGGTTGTAATTTTCACAAAAGATCTTCCTATATGTATGTTGCTTAACAGGTTTTATTTCCCTTCGTTTCACATTTCAATGTTTACCAGTTTCCACATCTTTTAAATGTTTTTAGTCATAGTCATGAGATAGGTATTGTTTTCTTTCAGTTTTTTCTTGTATTGTATTTCCATTTTAGGAAATTACTCTTTATGCTGTTTTTACTTTAATTTTTGTATCATAATCATAGTCTAGTTTACTGTTGCAGATCGTACACTTCCCTGCCATGTTTCTCCTTCCAGTATACACCATGTATCTTGTTGGCCAAGAGTATAGTCAATTACTTTTCTTTTTTCATCCACGTTTTTTCGCTGAAAGAAGTCATTTATACATTTTCATTATATTCACACTGTTATCATTTCCTCAAATTTTAAACAGAAACAATTTCTCTTGGATTATTTGTTATATTTTGATGTCCCTTATCAACATCTAGATTGTGTATTATTAAAAACTAAAAAGGTACCAAGCAAACAATTTAATATTAAAATAAATTTAAGGGTCGAAATTCTGTGTGGCGAAGAAAGGGACCATGTGACACATGTTCCTTTTTGCATTAAAAATAAGTGCTTCAAAAACTTATATAGTCATTCAATGCAAAAAGTACATTTTACCTTGGTTACCTTTTCTTAAATGGTTTTAACTATTACCCTTTTTTATTGCTAAATGGGAAAAAATTAATTGTACCTTTTACTTAACCTTATATGTCTTAAAAAACAT